ACGAGTCAACCTTAGTCCCAAATGATCATGATATCTTGTCACGAGTCAACCTTAGTCCCAAACGATCATGATATCTTGTGATGAGTCAACCTTAGTCCCAAATGATCATGATATCTTGTCACGAGTCAACCTTAGTCCCAAATGATCATGCTATTCTGTCATGTTACCCATGAAGTCATGAGTCAACCTTAGTCCCAAATGATCATGATATCTTGTCACGAGTCAACCTTAGTCCCAAATGATCATGATATCTTGTGACGAGTCAACCTTAGTACCAAATGATCATGATATCTAAGACCTACCATACACCTACTTATCACACACACCCCTCCCCCCATTTCGAGAACTGCAGGTATACGAGGAGTACGTGCAAGAATATTGAAAGTTCGTATCTGTTAAATTTGGGTAGTTTTTATGCAAGTATATAAGGACGTAGACATTGAAACGGTTGTATTATAACTGGAGAGCATTAACTGTACCCGTGTTGTATCGTAGGTACACCAAGATAACACAAGTTATTAGGTAAGTGATCCAAACATAAACAATGCTCTACTTGAGTAAAAAACCGGGTTTCGATACCCGTGGTGGGCAGAGCACAGATAGCCCTTTGTGTAGCTTTGTGCTTAACTACAAACAATCAACCCATAAGTAAAGACATTGTTTAAGTTCTATAAAACTTACTTTGAACTTGCTAACGTGATATTTTGTAATTATGTAATATTTATTGTAACGACATTGAGATAACACACTCATTGAGAGCATACAAAAATATTTAAAAAACGTTAGAATTTTTCATAGTGAGAATACTAACAATACTGTCTCCACACGCGTTTTTATCGTGTGTGTGGAATATGAAAACACACATTTGTAACTCACCTTCTGAAGGAAGAAGCGGAAATAAGTACCAGGCAAGATGAAATATGTTTCCCCCTTTCTGTGAGTAGTTGGAATGAATAGCAGGTACAAAGAGCGAGAATACTAGAATTACAAGGTCACTTTTCTGGCTTTTCTCGGCCCGCCATGGTTTTGTGGTCAGGACACTCGATCCCGGGTTCGAATCCCTCCACCAAACATGCTCGCTCTTTCAGCAGTGGGAGGGGGATTATAATGTGACGGTCAATCGTAAAGAGTAGTGAAAGATTTATCGATTTGTGGTGTTGACTAGCTGTCTTCCCTCTTGTATCTCACTTCATAATTAGGGACGACCAGCGCAGGTAGATAGACCTCGATCAGCTGTATGTGAAATTCAAAACAAACAAGCTGACTTTTGTTTACTATTAATCGTTCCTTTCTTACGTCGGCCGGAAAATAACTACGAAGACCTTTGGGTAAATTTTAATACTTGTAATACAAACCCGTAGTTACGTTTAAACCTCTCGTTATGACTGGTCATATATTATTACAAGCACAGAATGCCTTGTTAACCGTCTAAGTTATATACAAAGGAAAATTGAATATTTAACTGATTACGTTAAAAATACTTATCACGTAATGTTTGAGTATATTTTATTGTGAGGCTATGCAACTATGCATGATGGTGGGTGCACGTACAGCAGATGACACAGTAGCCAAGACAGTTTCATTGGTAGACTGCTCCAAGATGTCGATCATTCGAGTTTATTAACAATTGGAAAAAAAAGTAAAATGTCTAACTGCTATCATGGAACTGTGACCGGAAACACAAAGTGACAGTTAGACAGGATGGTCAAGTCTAACTGTTATCGTGGAACTGTGACCGGAAACACAAAGTGACAGTTAGACAGGATGGTCAAGTCCAACTGTTATCATGGAACTGTGACCGGAAACACAAAGTGACAGTTAGACAGGATGGTCAAGTCCAATTGTTATCATGGAACTGTGACCGGAAACACAAAGTGACAGTTAGACAGGATGGTCAAGTACAACTGTTATCATGGAACTATGACCGGAAACATAAAGTGACAGTTAGACAGAATGGTCAAGTCCAAAGTTTGAAAGCAAGAGTCCCATTTCAAATTGACCATGTATGTGTATGATTTATAAATACAGCATATATAAACATTCCTAAGTATGTCTCCTAGCGGTTGCAATAAGATACTCGTGGACAAGTTCACTATGTGGCTGCTCAGGGTATCCACGTAGGACCACATGACAGAGTGATCATGTCAAACGGAACAGAGCTCTAGATCGATATACCATTTATCATTGTATAATGAACTTTACAGTTCCCCCACTGTTTTAAAAATGATTTAGTTTACATTTTCATTTGTGAGATACAAGTTCTTCAAACATGAAGTATAAAGTCGTCGGTAACCAATCTACTACTTTTATCAGCTACAAAGTAGTTTCCCGCTTGACCTAACTCCTCTTTACTATAATTAATGTTCGTGTGTTCTAATCTCACTTGTTGTGATGCATCTGGAGAACCGGATCTTTCTCGGGGTGAGGGGGTGCTTAAAATAAGTCTCATCTCATTGTAAACGAAATTTATTACAATTAGTTTTATAAAAAGTAAGTTAAATTTACTCACTTTATTAAAATAATGAACGATACTTGCAATAAGCTAAGCCTAAAAACTGATACAGTAAATTAATATTCTATGTTTTCTTCTCTATAAGATAATGGAGACCTCTCTCAAGTCCGAGAAATCAGGGTGACGCCATGCAATAAGGAACCTTGTGCAATACCTAAAGGTGAAGTAGTTCGGATGGAAGTGGACTTTATTGCAAGTAAGTATATTTATCCTATTCTTACTACTAATGTAGCTGCTCTTAATTAATGAACCACAACTTGCCATCTGTAGTCATTTGTGGGAAATAACCTGCCATCCGTAAAGTGACACGTACATTGTCTCTCCTGCTGTAAGCATTCTAAGCTTCGTAATAACCATTTACCTTAACGAAGCCTGAGTTCCTTACGGGTTAATAATTACGCGTGTTTACAGTATTAACGATTTAATTTACCTTTCAAATTTAGTTTGTTTTGGATATTCGTGAAAGCTACACAAGGGTTATCTGCGCTAGCCGCTAACTTTGAACAGAATGGCTAGAGAAAAGGCAGGTCAACAGTACCCACTACCAGACATTGTGATCGAATAGTGAGATGTGAACCATGGACCCTCGGATCTGGCACGCTTAGCACTAGGCCACTTAAAAATTAGGCGATACTGTTTTATACACAATTGTTACACACTTAAATTAATTAAATCTAGCTTCACATTTTAAATACCTAAATTTTAAAATCGTTTAAAAGGATATAATTTACACATTAAGTTTTCAGGTTTCATTTAAGATGTTCCACTGATATTTCATTCTTACTTGTCTCACCACTAATTTCTTTTTTTGTTTAGATCGGAACTCTGTCCATCCACAAGTAAGTATCAAAGCTAAACTTTTGGGCTTCCTACTTCCGTTTCCTAGCCTTAACCCCAACGGATGTGTTGGCAAAAACCTCCAATGTCCTCTGGAAAAAGGAAAACTTTATACCTTCAAATACGACTTGAAAGTTGAAAAATACTTTCCTCGTGTAAGTATTTAGATTGATATTGGTCGTATGTGCGTAGCTTTAATATAAGAGTCTTGACATACAGAAGTTAGGTTTGTCGAAAATATTGTTACGTCTCCGTTTGTTAATTGATTTTCCTTAACTTCGTTCCGACGAAACTTAAGCGACACAAGTTCTTTCTGAATAAAAACTGGTTTATTATTTCCGAATACAACTTTACCGATACACTCAACTTCAACAATCGCGCTAAACAAACGCTATAACAACGAACGTTAACTTCAACAATACCCTGTGACTGCAGTTCAATTACTCACTATCTATACACACATTACAATATCCTCGTGTCACGTTGTCCCCTCTTATATATACCCGCCTACCCTAGCTAGTAAATACTAGAGCATTCATGAAAAAACAAGATAGTTCTAAAAAATAGAGGGCGCCACACCAGTCACGTGACCTCGATGACGCAACAATATCACCAGAACTAGATTAAATTAGTTCGTTTCAAAACCTTCTGATCGATTGTTATAAAATACAAGATCATAATCTGTTAGAAAGTGTAATATTGAACTACTAGAGAGGAGGTTTAACTGCAGAATTAATTGTATAGTGTGGTATGAACACTATAAACACGTGAAGAAAACTGCCATGTGTTATTTAACTTCTTGACAAATTCGACAGAATAAACTTACGAGTCGTAATTAGTGATTCTATACTTCAATCATTTTAAACATTCCGGTGGATAAGTTTACGGACTTACAACGCTAAAATCTGGAGTTCGATTCTCCGCGGAGGACACGAGTGCAGATAGTCTATTATGTAGCTTTGCACCAAATTTCTGTAGTTATTATTTAATTGTTCGTTATTCAACAGAAATCACTTTGTTTTTGTTATCCAGGTGTCGCTGCTGATGCTGTTTGTAGTTAAGCGCAAAGCTAAGCAATGGGCTATTTGTGCTGTGAGAACCACGTTTATCGAAATCAGGTTTTTAATGTTATAAGCATTCAGACTTACCGCTGAGCCACTAGGGGGCTCTGTATATCGGAAGTTATTAGGATAAATAACTAAACTGTTTCATCTGTTCACTCCAGGTCACCGTAGACGCAAGGTGGAAGCTGAAAGGAGAAACAGGTGGCTTCTTCTGTTTCTTAGCTCCAGTCAGTGTGGTCTGAAGACGCAACAAGTGTTTTACAGTATAGGCTGAATCTTTTCAGTTTACTACTTTTTTGTCCAATTTCCTCATGAATCAGTTAGGGGTCCAGCAGTAAAGTACGTAATGGAAAAATATGTAAATTTTAATCCCTGAAAAGAAGAACTTTAATATGTCATAAAGTCGGTGTTATTTAAAAAAAAACCTATATAACCATTTAATTAAAGTTTATTTTTTTTTACTCTAGACGTTTGTATTTTGGCATCCTAGCAATAAATCATTACCTATAAATTCAGTCAATACTTCCACGATGTTAATGCGCGTGACGATATCATACAAGTTTTAAAACTTTTATTTTTAAAACGTTTCAAGCAGATGTTTATACAACAGTGTTTTAACAGGAATATTTACAATACGATAGTTTCCACTAGCGTTGTAAGTCCGCAGACAAACAAACAAACAAACCCTCCCTCCCATAAGTAAGCCCCCCAGTGGCACAGCGGTATGGAATTAAGCACAAAGCTACACGATGGGCTATCTGTGCTCTGCCCGCCACGGGTATCGAAACCCGGTTTCTAGCGTTGTAAGTCCGCAGACATACCGCCGTGCCACTGGGGGGCAATTCTTTTGGAACCATCGTTCTAAACTTCGCACTAAGCCAGAGTTTCCCAGGGGGTCGGAAATAATCTATGGGGGGGGGCACGAACGATTAGGAGAGTCAATAGTGCAATAATATAAAATTAAGCGTTTTGATATATTTTTGCTGATGAAAATGCTAAGTGATTACTACAACAGATATATAAACCATTTTAATGTATTTACGTTCATTATATCTCGTC